TTAACATTTGAATTTGATGCTGACAGAAAGTGAGCATTCATATCTGGGCTTCATTTAATCATTCAGTTGAATGTTGCATTTTTTACCCTGCTCTTTGTCCAATCCAGATGAAACCCAGCAGTAGTTGTCAGCAGTGGCATTTTTTAAAGCGGCTTTACTTGACCGTTTCCATCGGTAGATGACAAAGACTGACATTACCACAGTGATCACAGTCAATGGGATAACCGAACCTAAGACACACACCAAAATCCAAGAACTTCCGAGAAAACTTTCTTTGCGTTTACTAGAGTCCGTTTTTGCGTTTGTAAGTGGAGGGGGGTATGTTGTCGGTCCAAAAGTGACAGGTATCTGATTCAGTTTAGTGATGAATGCTTCTCTATGATCTGAAGATGGAGAGATTTGTGGTTTATCTGTGGGATCCGGGACGCAGCTGATGCCATTTTTAGCCACAATGAAGTTTCCCCTACAGGAACATTTAAAACTGCCCAAGGTATTGAAGCAGATGTCTTCACACGGTCTATTGATACATTCATCGATATCTACACATATCCCGCTATCGTTTAATGATGAACTGTAACCCGCGTGGCAGTAACAAGAGAATGAACCCTGTGAATTGAGACAGCCCTGTTGACATCTGAGTTCGGTGCATTCGTCCACGTCTTCACATTTGCCAGCGCCAAGCCTGAAGCCGGGATTACACTCACAAAAATAGCTTCCCGGCGTGTTGTGACACCTGTGTTCACTGCAGGTACGTTGCTGACATTCATCGATATCAACGCAACTGACGCCGTTTTCAGCCAAATGAAATCCCTCCGCGCATGCGCATGAAAAGCCAGTGGCAGTCGGTATACACTTTGATTCGCAAGGTGAGTTTTCGCAGTTATTTCTGAGAGCACAACTCACTTTATCATCCATCAGGTAATAACCTTCATGACATTCACAACTAACACCTGCTTCTGCAGTCTCAAAACATAGGTGATCACAGCCTCCGTTTTTGCAGCGTTTATTTCGTGCGCAAAGACTCTCTAAATTTGTCCAGCCAAAAAGACCATTATTGTTGTCACAAACTGTGACAGAAGATTCTGCATCTTCCGACCCGCCGCACTGTATTTCAGCCAATGTCCCATGTGGTAACATCGCTAACCTTTCATTTGGACTTAGCGGTTTAAATAAGAATGGGACGTTGTATTTGACATCACCGTGTTTCTCCAACAGAATTGGTTTGCACATGCCTTTGAAGAGAAATGTACACATATAAAATGCACTGTCTCTACATGAGCCATCTGACCACTTGAAACCGTCTACCAGTGAAATCGACACGCACCTTTTTTCCGTGCATGTGCTCAAAGGTTTCTTTTTCCAGTTGGAATATTTGGAATCTCTCGGCTCTGAAGTCCATCTGAAGCCGTGTAACTCCTCAGTGAAATCAGTGCAGTGTCTTTTCTGCAACACAAGTCCGATCCAAAGTTTAGAGTTAAGGATGTTGAATTTCTCTGCTGCTAAAAGAGCCGATTTGATGCTCTGAAGTTCATTCTCATTTCTCATAGTAACCAATTTGCCACCGTTATTGATACAGTCTTCTGAAGCTTTTTCAAAACGTTTCTCCTCCAAATGCAGCGTAAGGCAAGCCTCAGCTGTGCAAGTTGTGCTCACTCGATCGGTCCCGCCAGCGACAAAACAGGACAACATCAGAAACAGTACGCGCATCATCCCGTCAGTATCATTAATAATAAAATACTACTCGCTTTGAGGAGAAAATATTCAGTTCATCTCAGAGAATGGAGAAGAAATTGTTCGTAGGCCTTTCAAGTATCAGAACAGGACTCAAACTGATGCATCCTGTTTAGTGAAAAACTTCCAAAGGAAATCATTTTTAAGCAGCAGGCTTCATTTGTCTCCTCAGAGCGACATCCTGCCGCCAACAAAAAACAACTACCCAGGCTGCTTACTGTTTTGACTACTTCCCCAGATGTGCTCACGACGTGACACCACACACCAGTACAGTTTTAGATGTATACTGAGCATCTGATTTAGGA